CGTCGTCTGCTATCACATGATGTAGACATCATGTGATAGCAATGACACTGTCTGACTCTTCTCACGGGAAGCAGCTGGCAAAGAGGTTTCGGTGTCATTTTCACACACAGCCAATTTTCGGTCTCCGTTTATTGGTAGTACGATGCGCATTGTATTGTGTTTTTGTTTTGTTATAAAGTTGAGAATAAAAATTTGCTCGCACCCCCTCCAACTAAGTAGTGCTGCCATTAGATGCCACCCCCTGGCAAGAATAATTTAATCTACCTTCCTTGCAGAGGCACAAGCTCGTGCCGTGGGCTTATTCAGGTGGTCTGTATCCATTTAATGAGCAAGGCTGAGTGTCACAGCCTATAATCTCATTTTTATGATTATAGAAAGCCCAGATCATAGAATGACAGGGCTCCACTAGAGTTTGACAGAACTTAAAAAGTCTGGAGCGTGCCTCCTCCGGAAGACTGATGCGCTGCAGCCAATCAGCAACATGACTAAAGAAATAGTCCCACTCATGCAATGTCCCCCAAAGGCAGGGTTCGCAGACTGTCTTGACACATGACATCATTCTGGAGTGAGCACCCATCAATGGAGGCTTGTGTGGATCCGCCTTTGAGAAGAAAATGCCACAAGCTTCGAAAGTTGTATCCGATTAAGTGTTCCTCACTCGACAGATCAAGGCTACACTGTCTCCGTTCACACAATTTATGACGCGATGACGCGATTTAGAACTCCCTACAGCTATCATTCACAAGAAAGGGAATAATTTCAGTAATTTCCCCCCCCAAACATCTCAACTGTGATTTGGCTTCCCATCATTTCACAAATCGCTTCGCCTAGACTGAAGGCGTACAATGGGAACAAGTGATGCATGATCATATGCAATCCATGCGCTAGGAAGTGATGCATGATCATATGCAATCCATGCGCTAGGATTTCAAATCTGTCATATGAGTAGACATAAAATTTCTTTACGAGAATAACTAGTAATTAAATATATCATTATATATCCAATAACTGACTAAGATAACATTGCAGTAAAATTCTGCCACAAAATAATGAAAATTCAAGTTTAACATAACAAAGTATTTTAAAGCACTTGGGAAGTAGTGACAGATGCATTTATCTGGGGATAAAATTTCAAAAATGTGTGACGTTTTGTAAGAATTGATATGAGAGCAGTTGCTCACACATTCAGTGCAACTATTTTAAATGTTTAGCATACTGTGAAAAGCTAAGATGATGAAGTCTGAAACATAGCAGATAAATCCAAGACTGCTTTATAGACTGTAAAGTCAACAAAGAACAACGAAAGTTTTCCACTAGAGATCCATTTATAGCAATACTTCATCCTCGTGGTGGTGTGCAGAGGTAATTTTCACCAGAAATACCACTATTCAAACACTTAAATAAGCACAAACGAGTTATCTGTATTTTTTTTACCCAGAAGACTCTTGCAGGTTCCATTCAAGATGGCTAGATCATATGCAGCAGTTCGATCAGCTAACCATGCCAGACATATGCACCAGTGCTACAGACTAGACAAAGCATAGGGAGGCCACCATACGGATGTCAAGTCTGGAACACTGCACTGCATCTTTCCGCCCATTCTTTCTTCTGTTTCCTTTCTTTTTGAACTTCGTGCTACTAGCGTTTAGAACAACAAAACCACAGCATCACAAGCTACACAGAAGTTTCTACAATGCAAGCTGCTCCAAGTTCATCTGAACTGCATCATGACAAAGATGAAAACCAAGCTTTTTTTTTTAATTCCCTAAACTCACAAGTCAGTAGTGGGCTTTATAATATGAGATCTAACAGACAATAATGCCAAGGAAAGTAAACGAAGGAAACGAGACATTAAGCATATACTTGTTTCTGTTGTATCAATGTGAAAAATCCCTACAGTAAACAGTTTTTCAAGACTACTTGCTTTACTGTTTGTCACTTCATATTGCAGCCTCTAACAAACAACTCACCATTAAAATTAAATTATGCTTAATATTTCACAACTATGCTACACTAATTAGCTACAAGCAAAAGGTTTCAAAAAGACATAGTAATGATTACAAGTACAACTTATTTATGATGCCCACATCTTGCCCACCCAACAGACGATGCAGTTAAATTACTTCCTCTGTTTCCAAGTTCCACCTCACTATCAATGAATGCGATTAATGACATTATTCCACAAACTAGCAAAGCATTAAGACTACAAAAGTGGCACCTGCCCTGAAAATAATGAACAACAGTGCTATAGCTTTCCATAGAGTGTTAGCTTCAATATTTATAGTACTATCATCGGTAAGTGTTTACATGTTCACCACAAGCTCAAATTTCATCATATATCTACAGCTCGCCCACTACAGCTTTCAATGCAAGAAAGACAAGAGACTGACAGACAAAACTAAGTCTCTCGAAAACTTACTGCTCCCACACTCTAGATGCAAGAAATAATGGACCATGAACATGCTACCTCAATTTACTCACGCATCCTCATTTTTTCTAGTGCTATTAGCCCAGCAGAGATTCAACAGCTTGCACAGACTCAGAATGTCAGCTTTCCTGAGTCATTTCTACTACAGTACCTCGCAGAAAGAGCATTTTTGTATCTCTTAAATACTCCATCAAATGCCTGCATAAAGGCCTCGGCCTTTGTAGTTAGCCATGAAAGTGTACTGCAAGCTCCCGACACCAATCAAGCATTGGAGCACAGCAAATTACAAGTGCTTATAACAAGAAACAGGGGTTCTGCACACGTCTGTTTCCATCTCAAAGCTACAAGAAAATCCATACGAATTTCTAAAAAGAAAAGCCTGTTTGTAGAAGAAAAAATTGGTGTTTGGCACCTGAGACAAACACTCTTTTGGGACTGTCGTTCTACCAATCTAGCTAGCCAGAAGGCTAGCATTTGGCAGTACAATGATTAATTAACAGCATTAAGCACATGGACACTGAATATGACACACCAGCGTCCAAATTGTTCACGAGAAGATTGTAGAACCCACTGAAGGAGAATATGTTGTTCAGCAAGTTAGCTGAATAGAGCACTCCCACACTTCTTTTCAGGGCTTCAATTAGAGACATTTACAATTCTCTGCACAGATTCAGTACTTTCTGGTCAGTATCAAAGGTATACCGCATTGCATATTAGTATGGTAGATGGGAAAGTGTGTGCGATATATTACATCATATGAATAATTTAGCCATATATCTTTTCAACCCATGAGTGGCCAAAATTTACTTAAATAAAACAGATTTCAAAGGACAAAGGTGAACCTTTTTGTACTGCAAAGTTCATAGTCGCAACAACATTAACACAGTGGAAAACACAACCAGGAGTAGTGTTTTCCAGATTTTTTTTGCTTTAATCTGAAATTGAAGGCCAGTTTGAGACAAAGTAACATCTTTTTTTTACAATTATATAACAAAATCTAACCTTTGACCCCTTTGAAATATCACCTTCAACATAACTTGTCAACTATTATGACTGAATGCAAGTTGCAATAGTTCTATGTGAACAGTGAGCCACTATTAACAATTATTATTATAGCCCTAAATATGCCATTCAGGTACTTAGGGCTGTGCTTTCCATTGACAAACTTAGCTTTCCACTCTTGCCATTGACTCGCATTTCACTATGTCACCATATTACCAAGACCAGCAAGCAGCACAACAAATGAAAAAAAAAAAAAACACCATAAACAATATATTCCTTCGTATATGAATTTGTAGTGCTGAGGCTGTGTCTGCCTGCCATTTAAAAATTATACACTTTCTTAAACAAAGATGATAGCAAGGCACATGTTGCACTCTCCATGTCCCTATTAAAACAGACAACTTTAAAGAGCAAAACAATTTTTTGTATATTATTAAAGTAAAATTTCACAATCCCAAAAACACCATTCTTACAGTGACACGATGCTTGGTAAACGAGAAAACGCACGAAAAGAAAATGTGGGTGGAGACGGTATCGTGAAATTCCTGCACCAAACACCGTGATGTAGTACACTTTGAAGGCATCTAATGGGTCCTACATAGCTTCTCGATAAAAACGAAGTACATTGTCATCTGTGGGTGCTATAAGCCTAGCATACAAAGTTTAAGAAAATTTCATCGAGCCAATGTCAGGAAAATGAGAAAAATACATTCTGAAACTTCTTATCTCACACGAGAAGATTCCAGTGCGAAGTTAAGAATGAAACTTGAACCTTGATTTTCTACCTTAATAATGAACTTATGACAGTGAAACTCTTAGCATCAGTGCTAAGAGAATAGTTTATCAATCTAAATCAAGTCATTGTTTCTCTTTAGTGTCAATTAAATACAGTTCATATATACAGAGGTTTAAAAACTGCCTGCTTCGCTTATGTATACATCAGAACAACTACTCATTGTCACAGGATAGCATTATGGGCACACAGCTCAAACAATGTGACGCTGGTATGCTGCTAAATTACATGCAAAATGAGTTATTCATGTTTCTCCTGTGCTCTGCAACTGCTTTTGAACAAAACCACATGGCAACTCTTGAAACGTCATATGGTGCAACAAGTGCCTACCATAGATTGATTGATATGTGGGGTTCAACGTCCCAAAACCACCATATGATTATGAGAGACGCCGTAGTGGAGGGCTCCGGAAATTTTTACCAACTGGGATTCTTTAACGTGCACCCAAATCTGAGCACACGGGCCTACAACATTTCCGCCTTCATCAAGTGCCTACCATAGTACATCGCATTATAGTAGCTACTGGGTCTTGCAACTTAGTAACATTGACATGAACCCAGCAAGGAGTGCAGAACAAAACTAGAAATTTCTTAAGGAGTCAGCAGGGCCAATACACACACTAGATCAACGTACAATACTATGTTAAAGTCACTTAACAAAAAACGTGATTTTCATGAAATTGCAGTTAATAACATCCAGCAGTATGCAGATTTGCCATAAGGGGCAAACAACTGTGCCAACTACTCTTCTATATTTGCATTTATCGTGAACACTCACCTTGCTATAAGGAGATTTCCCATGATGTGTTACCATGGTGCACTGGTCACAGTCCAGCGTTATAGTGGTGTTGTGAAATGACTCTTTGGGGTGTTTCAGGTTGAAGTAAAGATCCGTGACGCCTCCTTCGAATATGCTCCGGAAGTAACGAGGAATCAGGGTCCGCCCAATGGCTGCGATGGGTAAAAAAAACCTTGGTCAGAACAGGCATGCATGAGGTAATAAACATGGCTTAAGGAGGGCATAAAATAGAAAAGGAGAGTTTTTCTTTTAACCCTTTTCTTACCAAAGACAAGTTCAGCTCGTCCACAAAATTTGCACCGCTTCTATCGAAAATGAACACGGCTCATCCACCATGAAACAAGCATTTGGGGATGCCTAAGTTAAGCTGCTCCGATTCATATATCCGTGTCCTGTTTGGCTTCAACAGGCAGTGTGGTAAAAATTTTTTTGTTAAATTCCCTTGTGTACTAAACTTTCAGGAAATGAAACATTTCAGTTATCCTCTATGTATGTATGTGGCAGCGACTAAACATAGCAGCATAGTTTCGCTAAACCATTGGATTCGGACGATGACTGTCTCAATCTATGGGCTGTGGACGCCCTCACACGTAATCAAACCACCATCGGCACGTTCGCGGTTTGTTTTCAGACTCACGTCCCTGCAATCTAATTTTTAATTTTTAAATTTCAAACAGACTTTTCAGCCCTCAAAGCTGGAGAGGTTTGACATTCCATAGTGCGGTGTAATTAAGCCCATCCTCTACACATTTTCAAAAAAATTTTAAAAATAAAACATCTATCTAACGAATATCGCACCTTGGAATATTTCTAAATGGTTCAAGACATGTAGAATCAAAAAGGTGAAAAAAATTGTATTTTTGTAATGTTTTCGGCCAAAGAAACTGCAGGGAAAGGGCTTATTGGGAGTAACCTATTGCAAGTACACCCTCCCCCCCCCCCCCCCCAACCAAAGCTACTATTTAGTTTAAAAGGTGAGTAAACGGCTTTTCTAAGTTAAGTAAACAACCTGCCAAATAACCAGCAAGGTCTAATCAATAATGACAGAACAGAAGCATTTAAGAAATGTAACACAATCAGAAAAAAAAAGCTCATATACAAAATTTCTATAACTATAAACATATGAATAGAATGAATATTTTTAACATCCAAATCATGATAAATTAAGAAATATGGCACTAAGTAATATTAGCATTGCCATATAACCGAACATACTAATGCGATATGAATGCAGTGATCTAAATGAGGTAAAGAAGTACCAAGTATATTGGCAGTGGCCAGTATATTGGCCACTGCCAATACCTGCCCCATGAACCAGCCTACATAACTGCTGTTACAAATACTGTTCAAAAGGAAGAGCCCACACTTTGGATATGGCACACATTACTAATAGAATTATGTGACTAATGAACGCTTCCCGGAGTCACTTACAATGACTTAAACGAAAAGGCAAGGTTTCAGGCAACCTGAGCATAAATTATTAACATTTACAATTAATTTCATTTTTCAATTATTTCTAACTATTGCAAAAGATGTGGTGAATTAAACTAAATCTCAAATACACAAGCAATAAAAGTACCTGTCTGCACCTAGTGAAATGCACTTCTTGTGTTCCATTATTACATTTGCTATAGTCATGTAAGCTACTAGTGACCTCGATGACCTTCGAGCAGTTTAATTATCCAAGGTTACTGACGCAAGAGAATGTTTGCATGTACTAATGAACTCCTGATAAACAGCACTTGAAATTTTTTTGCAGGATTAAAGTATGGCAGCACCAATACAGACTTTCCCGAAAGCATGAACTAGCCTGCTTTCAAGTGAACCAAGCAGTTTAAAGAGGTAAAAAATTGAGTCCGTTCAATTTACATGCTTCTTAAATGGCCACGTATGAAAATACTAGAACTTGTAAGTTATACAGCAATGTGGTGAAACGTGGCAACAAAAACTAGCAGCAGGAGTAACATGTTCTTTCTTAGAGCAATTGTTCTTCTGAATGATCACTTCAAATTGTTTCAGTAATGCATATTCCTACTGGTGGAAAACAATTGAACTAATGCAATGCCAAAAACATGCTTTATTAGACAACATGCAGCTGAATCAAATATTTAAGTGTTTGCTTTGAATCTTTCCCAACAAGAATTCTATGTCATGTTGAAACACACACACAAGCAAATTGTGATATGAAACCACAGGGTGTGATTAGATGTGAGGTGTGAAGACATGGGCTGTTACCATAAGTGCAAGCTTTATAAATTATGTTTTGAGACAGATTATCAATACCACCAGCAATATTTTGGGGATTTCAAGTGAACCCATAAATCAGTGTCACACAGTCACTTTCCATTGTGATTGGGCCCGATCTGGATCTAGTGCTGCGTCACGGTACCTTTCAATCGCGATCAAGGAAAGTCAGGGAGATATCCATAGAGATCTCGCTGACTGACACCTGCGCCCTCTAGTTGTGTACTAAAAGAGTCAAAAATAGGAAGAGTACTTCTAGCTCAATAAGAAAAACGTAACAAAAATATTTTGATGAGCACTAGTATGCTGCGAAACTGACACAATATTCAAAAGAACACACATATTTTGCAAATATGCGCTTGCACACACAAGTTCCTTAGTGCTGCAGACGATCAGCAGACGACCATCATTCGTTAGTGACGATCCCCGACAATGGAGACATTCACCCTAACTGGAGTTAAGAGCGTTTGCATATGCAAATTCGACACATCATATAAACACATTAGAACAGCTAAAGACATCTGGTGCACTTGGGTAACAAACGTCGCCTTCATAAAACGTGTGGCCACGCTCACCATCTATCATGATTGAGAAATTTGAACAGGAGCAGGCCCGATAGCGATCAAAAGTGACTGTGTGACATTGGCGAAAGTTAACTGCCCTTTCCTTCATTAAAATGTAAAACTCAATAATACAAACAGACATCATGAGTGGATTTAGGGCACGAAAGTGTAGGACTGTGGGTTGAGCATATTTACGACGGGTTCAAATAAGAAAGCAGCGTTATTCTATGCGAATGTATCGTTATCCGATCATTGGATTCCTGGTCATAGCTACGAAGAAGGAAAACAAGAAACGCAGTAGCACGACAGGCAACTATGACGACTTGCGCAGCTTTACAAAGAACGGCGTTAGTAACGCACTATGACTAACAAAATTAACTGTACCAAAAGTTCAATTTAGTTGCGAAACATTAGTTTACTCACTGTAACGCTTTGGCCCATCCTCCAAGCAGAATGTGAGCGTCAAGGTGGCATCATCCTCGAAGAACTCTGTTGCAAAAGCGTCCCACCACAAGTTGTCGCTCTCCTGCTCCAGTATTAAAAAACGAAGAAAACGGGAACATGATTCTCTTAGCAACTGAGAAGCGCAAGTTTCGTCGAAGTGATTACTAAAAGTTGATATTAGAAAGCGCTATATCCGAAATAAACGTGTAATCTAAGGCGACAACTTCAAATATGTGCGATATACTTTTCACCGCACGCAGACGACACTGGTCTCGTGCATTAGGTAGGCACACCTATAACTCACACTAGCGTACTACTGATGATCATTAAAACGTGAAGGCGGCAACAATAAGCCGCCATTCCAGGCTGCTACAATGATGACACAGACTGTGGACTTACTTCCGTTCTTTGTTGCAACCGCTTGTTCATCTCGTAGATTCTGTAGTCCGGTTGCCCGAAGTACGGCGTGTGTCGTCTGAAATAGGACGAAAACGGCGATGAATAAAACGGGTCTGCCGGCGGACCGCCGGGCATGCTTTGTCCGAACATCGACTTCATTGGTGGGCTTGGCTGGTGGTGAGCGAGAGTCAAAACGCACTACACTAATGAAATCAAGTAACGTTCAAGAGTCCATGATTGTGCATCATCAGTTCCTAGGCCTTCTCTCGCGAAGCAGAGGTATACGCAGTTTTCTCGACGCAGCCCGATCACCTGCGACGGACGGCATCTCAGTCAGGGCGCGATGACGCGTCGGGGGAAAAAAATACACGTGGCGAAGACGCTCTCGGTAGCTGTAACGAGGAACGCGGAAAAACGTTCTACCACCGCCGTTTTGTGGTACGATGCAGTGCCGCTCAGTCAACACGGGTATTCCAGCTGGCACGCACGCCGATCGCGAACGAGCAGACGCGAAACATGCCGCCTCCGTGTAGTCCGCTCGCCAGTTAGGCTTAGAGTCAACATCGTTTCATAAACACTGCGCCGCCACGACGACGAACACTCTTGTGTACCACTGCTTTCCTACAGGCTCGGTGCGTCAACCAGTCGAAACGCCTTCTTCACGCACGCAGCAAGCCGCGGGCGCCCTGCAGCATCGAGGCAGCAGGCAAACGCGGCGCTCCGCGCCGCCACCGACTACCAAGGGGCCAGCGTTGGCCAAGCGACGCGATGCTCGCCGGTTTGTGGAGCGTGCATTGTACTGGTACGGCGTGACCTTGCTCGGGTCCAGGGTCGTACCATTTTGGCCGGCGGGGGTGGCTCTCCGAAAGGGGAGCAGCCCGCGCGTGCGCTCCCGACGCGTCGCCGCCGCGCGCGCCTGCTGCGGTGGTCGGCGTGCGTGCGAAGTTCCCCGTTCGACCGCGCGCGAGCTCTCTCGTGTGCAACGCTTCATCACTGTCAGTGCAGCGCCGCGTTGTGACCGCCTTGACTACACTACACTTGACTACATTGTGGTAAAACATCTTCTCAGTTGTTGCTCGTTCAGCTATACACCTGACAAAATGGGCAGTGAGTGGTAAAAGGTAGCTCAAAGCACCGAAGTATTTGAGACGTATGTTCCTCACAAGTGGATCTACGAAAGGAACGAATTGTTAGAAGGACTCGTTTATTTGATCAACACAATTAACTGACGAAACCAACAGACCTGTAATCGACGCTATCTCAACACAAACTTCGGATGATCAGTAAAGAGATGCTAATGAAATTCTAAATAAGCCAGATTTTTTTTTTTTTCCTGGAACAATCTGGGCCTTCTCTTTTTCTCTCAGAACTGCACTGTCATTGTTTTAGCTATCATAGGTTCGTTATCGGATTAAAAATTGAGGATCAACGTTTCATTCCGCTGTAGCGCCGTAATCTTAACAACGGTATGATGTCACTAATATCAACGTATTTCTTTTTCCGGATTTTGACCTCGTTGGATTGATTGTCACTTATTTCCACATATAAACAATTATACAGGCCCCGCCAAAAGCCATCAATGTCTATGACATCAATCAAGCAGGCGCGTTAAATTTTAAGGAAACGTCACAAGATAATCTGTTTTTTTTTTTTTTTTTTTCTGTGGCACCTTATCTATATTACGAGGACTTTTATCCCGGCAAGAGCAGTACTTTGCCTCTAGCGAATGGGGTGATTTACTAAAGTGGAAGAAACCAATGCTTCTTGCATGTTACTTTGTTGGATCACATTACATATAAACTGGGGAGTGCGAAATGGAGCATCAGCATCAAACGCGGTTTTATCCTGCTGGTGATTTATGATTTCGCACTCGACTCGGTTCATCAAAGTATTCACCACAGCCAAGCACAAAGTGCGCGAATCATTGAATGTTTGCGTATTAGTAAAGTGAAATCGGCCAAGGCATTGAAAAAAGGAGCACGTTATTTGTACGCATGTACTACTTATAACAAAGGCATCCTTGTGAAAACCGCCCGATACCCCTGAAGAGTAGAAAGCCTCTGAGCGATTGTACCGCCCACCGTTTAGTTTGCAGAGTAGGGGGTTAATAATTACGTTTTGTTGTAATTATTAACGTGATGAATTAACGTGAGAAGCTTAAATAAAGTTACGTATTACTTCACAATTAGCTTTTCACTAGAATATGACATGCCCGCTGCCTTTATGACACAAGAAATGGACCAAGAAAGGTAAGGGAAAGTAGCAGACAAGTTCACGTGGGTGCTAAACCTCAAGCAAAGCAAAGCAGGTTCACAGGGAAACCACTCGGCCTCAGAACTCGCAATCTTCTACAACGATAATGCCACGGCCGTCGAAACTTCAGAGCGTAAATAACGGGCACGTAACTAAGTGCACGAAATTATATAAACGTTTGTTAAAGTGATTTGAAAGTAATTTAATTACTTTTCAAAAGTGATAGGAGTGTAATAACATTGCTTTTGTTCAGCTGTAATTCGTAATCGCTCAAACGGACTGGAATTCTCCGCGGAACTCCAATCGTCGCCCACAGAACCTTGAATCGTTACTCTATAGCTACAACTGCCATCGAAGATTTTTCGACGTTATCTGCAATGCTATGTTGGTTGTGGGTCGGTGTTGCGTTGAACAACTCATTCAGCTATCGCATCATTTTGAAAGAGCCAGACATGCGCAATAACTACAACTGTGTAGAGACTATCGATCACCTCTTGCGCCTGTCTCCAATTTGAACAATCATCGAGTCTCGTCAAGGCACACTCCAGTGCACCTTGGCGAGACTCGATGATCGACCCTTCACTGAAGGACATATCTTAGGAGATGGGAATCACGGCTGATCAACGCCACACGAGCCCTAGCTACACAGTACCTGAAGGCAACAACAGCATTGAACGAACGCCTGTGCAACATTGCACTTGGTGTTGTGAGATGTTTCCCTCGCTCTCTTTCTCTCTATATAACGCTGTAATGCAATCAAATTGCACACAAAAATCCAGAAAATTATTTAGCAATTCAATTCAAATACTTCTTAAAAATACATTTTTGATCTCTGGTAACCATGGTAATCTTTCGGCTGCGAAATTCCTATAGGATTACGCGAACGACGGACTGAAACATACAAGCACGTCCATCCTAACAAAAATTCATACACGTGACCATGATGTGAAGTGCACACTTCTCTTGCTCTTACAAAACGTACACTGTTTAGTTGCCTGCGAAACGGTATAGCATAACAAAGATCTTAAGGTTCACATAGCGTTACGCCAAAGAGCGCCTGGCGCTGCCCCCCCCCCCCCCCAAAAAAAAATGCGTGACTCAGTTGGTGAAGCGAACTCGACTTTGTCATACAACATTTCGTAAATTGCGAAGCATTCCCTGCAGGATCCTGGTCACTTGAGCGCATACGAAGTGGGGGAACCTTTGGTCTCTTTTGATCACTTTCTCACAATGAAACAGCTACGTACACGTGATTGGGGAACAGACGTGTGTGACTTCACAGCGAGCTGCAGGTGCAGCTGCAGGAGAAAGACACGTCTTTCATTCTAGCGTATCTAGATGGAGCCGCGCAAGTTTTCTTTGTGGAGACGTAAAACAGAGAAAGAGCAGGCATCGCACCGTTATGTTCAAGCAGGCCGAAATGGAGAGTTGATGTCAAACTGAAGAACTTCGTCAGGCTACAAAAGGTCGACATAAAAACAGTTAAGCGTTTCGTCGTGTTGAAACTTGACGCCGATAAATAATGCGTCACGACGCTTCTACAATATCAGCCAAGCTTTGTTTATGGCACACGCAACGTTCAAGTATTCGCAAGAGAGAGAGAGAGAGAGAGACTAAAAGCACGGAAACACAGCTCAAGTTCACTGTCGGTCTAAGTACAACGTGAATTCATGCGCAGTGCATCTGTAGCGGTGGTATATATATATATATATATATATATATATATATATATATATATATATATATATATATATATATATATATATATATATATATATATATATATATATTCTGGAACACCAGCTTAGTAGTTACGATTACGACACAAATCAATCGCGTAAGTCGGTATTAGCAAACACCGAACGTCCTTATTGTTTACTGAAACACCTAAAAAAACACGCGAGGACGTGGCGAAAATATTGCGGCGATAGAGAGTATGATTACCCAGTGCCATTTTACATTCATACCGATGAGAGTACAAATAGATAGAGAGAGAGGAGAAACGTATAAAAGGGAAAAAGCAGGGAGGTTAACCTGGTAGGATTGATTGGTTGATGATTGATTGATTGATATGCGGAGTTTGAACGTGCCAAAACCAGCCCATGATTATGACAGACGCCGTAGTGGAGGTTGCCGGAAATTTCGACCACCTGGGGTTCTTTAACGTGCACCGAAATCTGAGCACACGGGCCTGCAGCATTTTCGCCTCCATCGAAAATGCAGCCGCCATAGCCGCAATTCGATCCCGCCACCTGCGGGTTAGTAGCCGAGTACCTTAGCCACTAGACCACCGCGGCGGGGCAACCTGGTAGGAGAGGAGCATACAGAAATACGCATGTACACAAATGACGCGCTCGAAGGTGCGCCGTTTACATGCGTATTTGTATGCGCCGATTTTCAATAACGCATGCTTTCTCGGTCGCGGGATTGTCGGCGATCAGCGGTCTCTTCTGGGCAATCTGATCTTTTTATCGATGCCACTCGTCATTCCATGTTGCCACGTTTCATTGTACCACACATGAGTATTGTTGCTGCTTGTAGCAACAGAAGTATTGCGTTGATAAGCACGTGGACGAAGGTCTGATATTCCGGCTGTGGAAGGAAAAAGTTCAGAGGGAGCATTGCGCAATGCGAAAGAAAGAAAGGAGGTCAGGCACGCACATGCCAAGATTCGCGTGCCCCCACTTTCCCGATAGGGGTCGGGCTCCTGATTTCGTTTTAGCTTTCTTGCCGCGCGATTTTCTCGTGGTGAGATAATCAACGTGGCTGATAAAAGTCTTAACCCCCCCCCCCCCCCCCCAAAGAAAGGCTACGTGCTGATTTGATTTGTGGGGTTTAACGTCCCAAAACCACCATATGATTATGAGAGACGCCGTAGTGGAGGGCTCCGGAAATTTCGACCACCTGGGGTTCTTTAACGTGCACCCAAATCTGAGTACACGGGCCTACAACATTTCCGCCTCCATCGGAAATGCAGCCGCCACAGCCGGGATTTGATCCCGCGACCTGCGGGTCAGCAGCCGAGTACCTTAGCCACTAGACCACCGTGGCGGGGCGAAAGGCTACGTGCTGTCTACGATGGTATATTCATGTACTTACCGCATACGGCAAACCAGTATTGTTAACTGCCTTCAGGAAGACAGGGAGGCATGGGAACTATATGTGTTGTGTTTTGGCTATGCTCAGGGGGAGAGGGGACTCCATCCTTCCCTTCCCTCAATTTTCCTCCAAATTGGCGCCGTGACGCCGTCCCTGTTTCTGACACTACATTCTGGACGTGCTAAAGAGCCGCCATCTTGGACTGATGGCGTTGCAGTTTTGTACTCGTATCAAATGAACAAGCAGTGCTACGGCGAGCTCTTACGCACGAATACTTGGGTCGGTACATTCCACGTTTCATGACCGCGACAATCGGCCTGTATGGCATGACAAATCTTTGTCATGACCCATGACCATGGCAAATTGAAACTGGGGGGTCCATGGCCTCCGAAGTTGTACGCTGCGCGTCGGTAGAGAAATCTCTGGGGCGTGGTATTATTCGGGATAATTTGCAAAGCAAACCTGCAATGCCAGGTGCCACTCAGTTCGTACCAGTTGCCACCCTGCAACCCCCCCCCCCCAAAAA